ACTGGACAGATTAAAAAATCCAACTGCTCTCTTGCCCTCATTATTTTCTATTTTTATTTACATTTATTTATTTATTTATTTATTTATTTATTTATTTATTTATTGAGACAGAGTCTGGCTCTGTTGCCCAGGCTGGAGTGCAGTGGTGCGGTCTTGGCTCACTGCAACCTCCACCTCCTGGGTTCCAACAATTCTCCTGCCTCAGCCTCCCAAGTAGCTGGGACTACAGGCTCGTGCCACCACACTTGGCTAATTTTTGGTAGAGATGGGGTTTCACCATGTTGGCCAGGCTGGTCTGGAACTCCTGGCCTCAAGTGATCCACCCACATCAGCCTCCCAAAGTGTTATGATAACAGGCATGAGCCACCATGCCTGGATTCATTTATATTTTACTTTATATATAATGCTCTTAACTCATTTTCATCTATGTATTTCTTGAGTGCTTTTGGCTTCTTCAGGTTAGTTTTTTGTTTGTTGTTGTTTTCTTCAAGATTTCTTTTTCTCCTTTTGTATTGTAGAGAATACAAAAATATATAAAGATGAAAAAAAAGTACTGAAGTTGTATTTAACCACTAAAGGAAGCACTGAATAATAATAAATTTTTAGGTGAAAAAGGGTTGGGGGTCATAACCAGAGGTAACTCTTTGTTATTTTGATACATGTCCTTCCAGCTTATAAGTACATGTACAGCTCTCTCTCCCCTTCCCTTTCTCTCTCTGTGTCACACATATACATATACACACAATTGTTTGACCAAAAAACATTAACAGAACAAAATTGATAATACATGTAACGCAAAAGTGTTTTCCTGAGAAAAGGTTTTTAAATTCATATTGAGTTATTACAACCATAAAAAATAACTGCAAGGGCATTCATTACAAAGACAGTGAATCCACTCCAAGTCACCCTGCAAAAATAAAATCATCGAGCAAACTCAAATTGCTGCTAAGATGGTGAATTTTAAAAAGCATGTCGTTTTGGGATTCCTACTCAACTATTCTTGATTCTATTCTTTAGAGACTCCTCCATGATGCAAACTTAGCTGGATGTATTTAAGATCTGAAAACCATTAGAACTAATTAAGATGAATTTGGCTTTGTTCTTCAACTTCCTGTAAAAAATGCTCAACAGGAAAATTGATGTTCACAGTAAACCACAGTCATCCTGTTTCTTTAACACAATCTTTTCACAGCTGCAGTTGCCTGGAGTTTCTATTTTATGTCGCGAGTCACTGTGCAACAGCTCTACCGTCCCTTCCCCCCACCATGTGGTCTGGCCATTTTAGAAACTTTCAATACCTTTGCAGAAAGGTTCGTTTCTATTATTGCTACTCTTCCTCTCTCCAAGCTGAAGGGCCTCGCTCAGAGCAATGAGGCCATGGATACAAGAGGGGAAACAGAAAAGGCAGCTGGACTCCAGAGGAAGCAAAAGGCAGAGAAGAGGAAAACAGCTTGATTAGCAGATCAGCAGCCTCACCCAGTTGGTTCTTATGCATTGTTAGTCTCCATTTGCACTGAATGTAGAGCACACGCTTGCCATATACAGAATCCCTCATTTCTCAGAATGTACTGCTCTTTTCTCAATCATCATTGAAAACAATTTACTTCAGCGACGTCTGATTAGGTTGTCTTCTTAATGGTAAATGTCAGTTTAAGTCTCTGCTGAACCTATAAATGTTTCTTTTATAGTTATTTTAGATAAGGAGGTGATTTATTTTGGCAGGGAGTAGGAAAGGTGCTTTTCAAAGAAGACATTTTGAAGCATCTCTAACGTCACTAAGACTGGCTAGGAGCTTGGACACAATTTTTACTGCAAGAGTACTGCTAGGGAAATAAGGTTGCTATGAAATAAAATTATTTTTTAATCCACTATTATGCACATTTAATTTTAAAATTAATACAAATTCATAGACATCCAAGACCCTTTTAATAGTGAGAAAATGAAGGTGAGCTGAATGACCTGCCTACCTGTCATTATTTAACTGAAGGAAAGGGAAAGGAAACTTTTTTTACTTTATCCATATAATTAAAGAGTAGCAGGTTTTCTCCCATACTTCCCATCTCTTTAAGGGGTTCAAATCTCCAAGCTAAAGTCTTCCTAAATTGCTATTACCACATTTAGTTCTACCAGAGGATTAAGATGTGCCACTGTTTCTCTTTCTCTCTCACACACATATACACATGGCATATATGTTAGCACACTTGATATAGTGTATTCATTTTATCATAGCACAGCTTTATGATACAAGCAGAAGTGTCACCAAGTTTACCTCTGAAGAAGTGAAAAGACTTAGAAAGGAAAATATCTTACTTGAGATTATTAGTTTCAAAGATATTTACTGTTGCTGTGACATTTAAAGCAAAACATTTGTACTCTCAGATTCCCAAGGCCGGAAAAGCACCTCAAGAAATCATACTGGCTGGGTGTTGTAGCTAATGCCTAGAATCCCAGCACTTTGGGAGGCCAGGGTAGGAAGATCGCTTGAGCCTAAGAGTTTGAGACCACCCTGGGCAAACATAGTGGGACCCTCATCTCTACAAAAAAAAAAAATCTAAAATTAACTGGGCATGGTGGTACACATCTTAGTTCCAGCTACTTGGGAGGCTGAGGTGGGAGGACTGCTTGAGTCCAGGAATTTGAGGGTGCAGTGAGCTCTGATTATGCCATTGCACTCCAGTGTGGATGACAGAGCAAAACCCTGTCTCAAAAAAAAAAAAAAAAACAGAAAAGAAAAATCATACAATTATTTATAATGTTGCTTCCAAGCTGCACTTGCGAAAAAAAGCTCTTACAATTCAGATAACTTCCTCCACATTTAGTTGTTAGGTGGCCTTGGATAAATTACTTAGCTTATCTAAGTCCGGTTTTCAAAATAATAGCACTTACTTAATAGGGTTATTCAAGAGTTAAATGAGGGAGTGCTTAATAAGTATTAGCCATTTTCAAAAAACAAAATAAGCAAAGGTGAAGAACCTAACACAGAACAAGTGGTCAGTAAATATTACAGTCTTTCCCCCTATTTAACCACGAGAAAAAGAAACCGTGAGCTGATTTAAATCAGCCTACGTGTGTACACCCATGCAAACTTCTGTATTACAAGTGAATGGTGAAGGAAGATGTGTATAAAGTGCATTTCAAATTTCTCAGAAAAGCATACTGATTAAGGCATTCCTTATTCTAGTATTTTTTTACAGTTTTAATTTTCAGGACAGACAGAGGTATTTATGGCAGTCCAGGAGAAATGCTTTTTTCAACAACAAGCACATGTTTAACAATTTGAACAAAATGAGTCAAACCTTAGAGCAGAAATGTATCACAATTTAAATAGCCAGAAACTTCCAAAGTAAATGATGTGTGTTCATAAAATGTTAAGAAGGCTTCAAAAGGTCATAAGACTTAAAGGGTCCAGGAATTCGGTATCACTTCATCTTACATTTTAGGTAGGTTGGGGAACTTCCAGCCTACAGGCCAGATTTAGAATCTGATCAGATCTGAAGTTGCTGCTTGACCCCAGGAACTAATTTTCACCACAGGGAGTTCTCTGAATATTTCAGTCCACCCAGAGTATGTGTAACCCTTAAAAGGTTAGATATTAGAGTAGTTGAAGCGCTATGAGCAAATAGCCCATGAATAAACTTTTCAAAGAGCAATAGAAAACCTGACTTCGTGAAAAATGACTTTTAGGTAAGTCATTTAACGACCTTAGACCTATAAAAGGAAGAGTTTTGACATGATGATATTCCAGTTCAGAAGCAACAAAGCTTGATAAAGTTAACACATAGCACTGTAGTCCAAGTGAATTTTAAGAGTATGATTTCTACACAGATCAACCTCAAAACCTTTCCCCAGTTTCTCATCTTCCTCTCTCACTATCCTGTCCTATTCTTTCCCCAGTCTTTCAACTTTCTCTCTACCAAGTTGTCTTAGTTTGCTTAGTAAGAATCTTTCAGGAGCCTTTTCATTTACCACCTCTCCATTCTCTACTACATATACTAGGTATGCCATTAAATTATTTAAAAGAACTTGTATGCTTGTAATCCCATCACTTTGGGAGGCTGAGGTGGGCGGATCACTTGAGGTCAGGAGTTCGAGACCAGCCTGACCAACATGGTGAAACCCCGTCTCTACTAAAAATATAAAACAAAAAAACCAAAAACCTTGTACTTAGTGACTAAAGTTGTATGTGCCTTCTGAGTTTTGCAAAGCTTTATTTAATATTTCTCCACGGGGAGAAAGGACATAAGTTGTTTTTTCCTACATATTCTAGAAAAAAGTTTTTTTAACCTAAAAAGTTTCCTTAGTTCTGCTCTGTAAGTCTCTGAGTATATGGCTTGAAATTTAAAAAATCACAATATTTTATGCCAAAACATTAATCATATTTAACATAAAGTTATAATTAATGCTATAGAATTTGATTTGCGATAGTAATTGTACACACACTGTTATAACAGGAATAGACTTATTCTAAAAGACAAATCATATTCTAAAAGACTCTGCTAAGAAATGGTTTAGTTTGAGTTTTGAACTTAAATAGCACATCGGCAGCAAGAGAACTGCCAACAGCTTAGTTCCATGGTATTTTCGTTTGAAGCTTCCAATGGCTCCTTGAACTTTAAAGCACTTATTGTTACTGGCCACACCAAAGATTCAAAGGCAGTTGTGTGGACAACTGTATCATATACCAAAAGGATATATTTACTGACATAAGTCCCCAATTTAAATGGGAAAATAAATTCCTGTGGATTCAAACTTGTCCAGTGGTCAAGAAAAATTCTATTGAAAATCTTGCTTACATTTTGGCTCAAAGCATAAGTTATGAATCATTCACAATCACCATAGTGGTGAAACTAGCATTCTGAGCAACAGGAATAGCTCACATGGTGTTCCACAGAAAAATTAAACAACTTTATCTCGACATACTATGGTCCATTAAAAGCCATTTAGTTCTTCCCTGTAGCTGATAAAGGAAATAAACTTAGTTTGAATATAATTTTTCTTACCGTTAAAGGGTACTGCAGGGAGCCATGGTCAGGGACACAGGCAGACAGAGGGCCAGCAGGACAGAAGCCAAGAGAGAATACTGTCCCTGAAAAAGGTATCATCTTCTAACGCAAGTGTGAGGTCATTTTTGGACAGCCATTTTGGACAAGCTCTGGCCTCTTGTTAAATGTGACATACTGAGTCAGAGGCAGACGTCCTTCTGCGGTTATTCGCTTCCTGTCTGATTAATTTGTTGTTTGTTCCTTCCTCCTTTGCTGCAGAAAAAGAAACTAGATTGGTTTTGCTTAAGAAGCAAGCAAGAAAAAAACCTAAATTTAAAAAAATTAAATGTTTCTCCTCCCCACAAGGTGTAATACACAGCTATTTGGTACAGTGACAAGAGGGGATGAGCACCTCCACTCCGTAAAGAGTCCAACTTTATTCTAGATATTCCCACAAAAATAACTGTTCATGGAACTTGAGGAAAATTATATTTGAAAGTATCACTGTAAATACTGACTATTCCATTAAGTAATAGGGAAAAGAGTCACTCAAGAAAGAAAAGCTCTTACCTACCTTACCTTATCTCTTAATTAGGCTAAGGGCTTCTCTCATTTACAGGGCATTCAAGTGTGTGGGGAGAAAGTTACAAATGCAGGTGAAGAGAGCAGGTCAGGTGTATGAAGGCAAATGAGGTTCTTTTTTTGGTTTTGTTTTATTTCTTTCTTTCTTTCTTTTTTTTTTAGAGACAGAGTCTTGCTGTCACTTAGGCTGGAGTGCAGTGGCATAATCATAACTCCCTGTGGCCCCTCCTGGGTTCAAGTGATCCTCCAGCCTCAGCCTCCTGAGTAGTTGACACTACAGGCATATGCTACTGCACCTGGCTAATTTATTTTATTTTTATATTTGGTAGAGATGGGATCTTGCTTTGTTGCCCAACCTGGTCTTACACTCCTAGCTTCAAAGTGATCCTTCCATCTTAGCTTCCCAAATTGCTGGGATTACAGGCTTGAGCTACCATACCTGGCAGCAAATGAGTTTTGAAACGTGATTTTGGTGCCCAAGTCAGGGTAAATAATATACAGCTTAATTCAGCTGCAGATCCATAGCTTTCTATGCCAAAATGTTTCTGTCCCCCACACTTAATGGGGTAACATTAACTCTCCTAGAAGATGCTTGACAAAAGCATAGAGATAAAGAGGGCAGAAGGAAGAAAGTCAGATTTCTCATTATTAAAGAACTCAAGAGGTGAATGGCAATGGAATACATGTAGAAATCATTTTATGGAAACCTTCAGTTATGTATAGAACGATCTGAAAATACTCATAATTTTTTCTTAACCCATCTTAAAGGTTCAGACTTACATTTGCAACACGTAGCATATAACTCTGAAAAAACAGTAACAGTGGAAGAATTAAAAAGAGAGGCATATTTCAGAAACTAGCTTCACTGTAAAATCTGAATGTTGGGTCCTGATTCTGCTGGGATCAGAGGCCAGAGGCATGAAAAGAACACATGTTGTCTAACACTGCCTTACCTGTAAAGTGATAGAACTGGGCTAGATGAGTAATTTTCAACTCAGGTAGCTGTTGGGGGTGGAGAGCAGTGAGTGGGAATGGTGGGGGGCAGGGGTCTGTAGCACTCAGTGGGTGGGGCCCGGAATGTGAAATTTCCTATGGTGCTTATGACAGTCCCACCCAAAATACCAGAAGTGCTCCTACTGGAGAGTACTGGGATAGATGATGTCTAAGGATCTTTTAAACTCAAAATTCCCTGAGATAGGAGTCTAACTGCATGAGCAGATTCATGATGCCAGGCCGTGGGCACAGTTCCTGGAGTGGTATCTCCAAGAATAAGTGACTGAGAGTCCTCTGCTTTGCCTGGAGCCCCTTGAAGGCAGAGACTGCCTCTTGTCTAACTCTGGCCTGGTGTCCACCTGTGACTTAACACACGAATAAATACCTGCAGGCATGGGACTGGACAGAGGTGGAGGCCTGCAGCAATCAGCACTTCCCCTGATACAAACCCTCAGGCAAACAGAAAACTTGATCAACTATTAAGTAAATGCCTGAGTGAATCTTTGAAGAAGTCTAATTATAGTCGGGTCTGAAAAGAGAACACAGGCAATATGACAATTTCTCTATATATTTACAGAATTATTTTGAAGTTCTCTAAGTAAGACACCCCAAACACACACACACACACACACACACACACTCTCTCTCTCTCTCTCAGTACACATACCATTCATGGCTATTTCCATCCCTTAGGGGAGTGGTCCCTAACCTTTTTGGCACCAGGGACCGGTTTTGTGGAAGACAATTTTTCCACGGAGTGGAGGCAGGGGGTGGGGACGGTTTCGGGATGAAACTGCTTCACCTCAGATCATCAGGCGTTAGATTCTCAGAAGGAGCTCGCATGCACAGTTCACTTTAGGGTTCTTGCTCCTCTGAGAATCTAACCCCACAGCTGATCTGACAGGAGGCGGAGCTCAGGAGGGAACGCTGGCTCACCAGCTGCTCACTTCCTGCTGTGTGGCCTGGTTCCTAACGGGCCATAGACTGGTTGGGGACCCCTGCCTTAGGAAAAGCTCACTTAGAAGGGAGTATGTCACCTAGAAGGCTGCAGTTCCCAAGACACGCAAGGGAGTAGTTGTGTAGTTTGAGTCTATTCCTACAATCAACTTTGGACACATTTATCAGGTGTCTACTATGCACAATAGGACATAAATTAGATAATGTTCCTCCCCTACTTAAAACCCTCCAATGACTTCTCATTTCATTTAAAAAGTCCAAACCCTTAGGTCTACAGGGACCCACAAGATCTGGCCCCTCCTTAACTCTCTGCCTTCATCTCAAGTAATACTGTGCCTTGCTAATTTACCTTCCACACCTTTCTGTTCCTTAAATGCACCAAGCTCATTTGCATCTTGGGGCCTTTTACTTGCAAGCCTGGTACTCTCCCCTGGTACACTCATCTTTTGGTTCCTTTTTATTCTTCAAATGTCAGCAAAAATGCTCTCCCTCATGACCCATTTCTGCTCCCGTTTTCTTTTATGCATAGCACACATCACCACTTGACACTGTCTTATTTATGTTTATTTACTTGTATGTCTCTCCCTACTAGAATCCAAGCTCTATGAGAGCAGGGACCTTGTCTATGAGAGCAGGGACCTTGTCCCATCTTGTTTCTGCTGTTGCTTTAGCATCTAATGCTGCACCTCACACCTGATAGGTGTTTGAAAATAAGTGTTTGTTGAATGAAAAAGAAAATCAATGTTTCTTACAAATTCTACTATAGCATAATGTTCCTTTTTTTTTTTTGAGACAGAGTCTTACTCTATTGCCTAGGCTGGAGTTCAGTGGCATGACCTTGGTTCATTGCAATCTTCACCTCCCAGGTTCAAGTGATTCTCATGTCTTGGCCTCTCTAGCTGGGACTACAGGCGTGCACCACCACACCTGGCTAATCTTTTTGTATTTTTAGTAGAGACAGGGTTTCGCCACGTTGGCCAGGCTGGTCTCAAGTGAACTCCTGGCCTCAAGTGATCCATCCACTTCAGCCTCCCAAAGTAATGGGATTATAGGCGTGAACCACCACGCTGCCCAGCATAATATTCCTTTAAAAGCTTAAGACTGTTCCCCCTGAAATGGTAAAAAACGAATGCCAAGACTAGACTTAAGCCTTCTTGGGAGAAGCTGTTAAAGGGAAAATTTCCAGAGAAAAGGTCAGTAGGTAAAATCCTTGGCCCATCAGTGGGCTTGGCAATGCAGGCAGAGTCTTATGCAGTGCAGCTGGCTTATGCCATTGGGCAATGCGAAGAGAAAAATGGATTAAGAAAATTGAAAACAAATAGAACAACCAATCAGAAAGGAAGGGGAGGAAATAAAAAGGTAAAGGAAATAAGGCAAGAAAAGCTGGAGATGGGGAGAGATCATGTGGTGGGTAGGGGAGAGCTCTAACCACACTGCTGACCTCAGAGGCTTTGGAAGCCACTTCTCCAGTGGATGACCCACAGGTGCTGGGTGTAACAGTGCTGTCTGGTCTTCCTCAGTGAAGTGGAGTTCTCAGATCAGTGCCAGCTTTTCCAGCAGTCACATTCTTTAAAAAGAAAAGAACTTTAAGGCTGCAGGAGACTTGTAGAGATCAAAGTCTACATCACGACTTACAGAGGAAGAAACAGGGTTACAGAGAAGTTAGGCATCCTGCCCATGTCACACAGCTAGCAGCAGCAGAGCAGTGGCCAAAGCCTGGGCTCCACTCCACTGTCCAGTGCCATTAATGTCTTCAGCCTCATTTCAGGTTCAGGTGATACCACCTACCTCCTTTCTGTAAGTATAAGAAGAGGCAGAAGGAAGAGAGTGGAAAGAAAGTCTGTGATGTGGATGGGAGAGGTTGTTATACTATAACCAAAGGCCTGAGATAAGTAGATTGAAAGCCTAGATGAATAAGGACAATCACAATTCTGGACTTAAAGAGAATTCTAAATGTATATCTCTTTCTCATTTAATATACATCAGTCCGAGCTTAATGACAGAGTAAAACAATAACCAATAGGCTTGCAGACCAATCACATAAAGAATCCTCCATATTACTCTATAGAAATAAAAAGTCAAGAGCAGGCAGAAGATTATAAAACAATAATGTAGGTCTCGCTAGTGTGGAAAAAGTGCTGAAGAATCACAGCCAACAACTCTCCTGCGGTGGCCCCCAATCATGGACTGAATCAGTGCAACAGTGGCGTGTGTAAAATATGACAACATAAGTTTTTAATAATTCTGGTTTTTCAAGTTGCGTTTCCATGACTACCTGTTATGGTACAGCATTTGCCCCAGTAGTGGAAAGCTGTTTTATAATATTGCATTCCTCAGTTCTAAAACTTACATTATTCCTTCTTAGACTGCAGAGTGACACCTTAATAGATTTTTAGGGTGAAAAAGAAACACTACCAGATTAAAGATATGCATTAGCTGTAAGAATCTATTTTCGAAATGTTAAAATATGGGAATTATTTGATTTAAAAGAGCAGAAACAAAGGAATAATCCTCTCCACCATATAATTATCAGTATAGCTACGCAGAGGGTTGATCATTTAAAAATCATCTCAGAAACATAGAGAAATTAAAAACAAACCTTTTAGTATTCTGTGCCCTGTTAATATAAATTGACATAATTTTACTTGGGGAAAAGTCTGCAGTGTATTCCGTTGTGTTTCGGCAGCTCAGTAACCATTCCCCCTACTTATAATCATGTCCATTTGTTTGTGTGGAGAATCATCCCCCGCTCACTCTCAAAACATGTGCATCCACAGGCATTCACTCCCACTCCAGACAGAGGAAAAGCATGTGATTCAAGACTGGCTCATCAGAGCCTTGCATTCATTTGGCCCTAGAGACTTCTGGTGATGGCTTGTGATCATCAGAATCAAGGAAACTTGTAGCCTGAGGCGAGCTCTATCCCTGAGGGATGAGGCTGGAACCAGATCTGTGAGGATGTAGGGAATAGGCCTGTTGCACTCATCCTTTGACCACATGGGGTCTAAAACCAAGACCAACAAAATGGGAATTGGAAGACGGAGAAAAACCAAGTGCTGGTGTTGTTGGTTGAGCCCTGAATCTATCTATAACTGAAGATGGCCTTTTTCTAGACCTTTAATTTATGTTAGCAAATAAATTCTCTGTTTTATTTAAGCTGGTATGGTCAGGTTTTCTATTATTAGCAATACAAAGACTCTTAAGTGATATAGGAATTGGTACTAGAAGTGAGTGTTGAATGTGACTAAGCCTAAAATGTGCAACTGGCTGATTGAAGGTTGGGGAAGGCTAGCACAGGCTGGCCTGGACTGGAAAGTTGGCAGTCCTTGTTAACTGACAACAAAATAGCTAGTTATGCTGCCACCTATTGACTCCTCGGTCTAAGACAGGGGCCTACTCATGGTACACCATTAAAGGATTCACTAGAAAAACATTTAGAATGGTGCAGTGTGTTGGCTGTTTCTTGTGTCCTTTACTAAGATCCACAGGAGAGAGATAAATGTAGGCTGAAAACTGACTAGAGGCACAGAGGGAAAAAATACAGCTTTGTTAAGAGAGGCCTTTTTTTGGCTGTGATCTGCAACCAAGATGGGTGAGAGTCAAATAATTTGGAGACTTGTGGGTTGGAAAACCCAAATTCTCTACGGCATGCTAACATTAGATAGAGTGGGGAGGGACTCAGTCATAATCCTGAGAGACACAATTCCAAACACCAGAATCCTGAATATTGAAATCCCAAAATATCAAAATCCTGGAAATATAATTCTGGAAGAAATAATAGAGAATTCTTTGAAAGACATTTATTTACATTTTTAAAGGAGAATTTATTTAAGAAACATATAAAAACATGACAACACTTCATAGGCCATTTTACACAATAAAATAGACAATAATAACACATATATTTTTGCAAGCATAAACACTCAGGTACTCTAACAGCAGCAGCACAGGTATAGAAGTTATAAGCAGACATCTGTATTCACAAAGAAATAGGGCAAGAAGGGAAGTGTATAAATGCATATCACTACAGTTGGTATTGTGTGTGCTCAGCTTTATAAATTTGGTCATCTGAAATACTGTGACAACTAATCTTTTGATGAGATCAAAAACTGTGACATGCAGTTACCATATAGGCAGTTGCCCAAAGAGCTGTTATCTCAAGAAATTTTCTTTCATAAATTCAGATTTGTATAAAAGGCCATCTCTTCATTTATTGAGGATGTTTCAACATTTTTATGTATATGTGCAAGGCTTACGCACAAAGTCAATGCTGTGCTGATGCATTTTTATGGAGTTAAATTTGCAAAAAATGCATTTAATGAATCAGAATTTTCCAAAAGTCTCTACACAATGTGTATGTCCAGTATTGGAAATGATTAAAAGATGAAATACATAAAAAATCATGCTGAAAATTTAAAATAGTGGAAAAAAAACTAAAATAAGAAAAAGAACTAAAAAGAAAATTCGACATATGAAAAGGGTATTATGGGGATAGATTACGGGCAATTGCACAGAGATATTCCAAAGAGCTGGCCTAACATGATGCAGCTATTCCGTGACTGTGATTTTGGGGATTTTAGATGTTAGGGATTTTAGACTTTAGAGATTTATACTTTAGGAATTTTCATCTTTGGGAATTTCAACATTCAGGATTATAGTGTTCTAGACTGTGTCTTATGGGATTATGATCCAAATCTGGAGTAACTCTACTCTGACTCCAGGAATGGAAAGTGACCAGCCCTGGCTAATTAGAGCCTTGGGGTTCCCTGGCTGCAGTGACTGGTTCAGAGATGCCCATGTGACTACTCTTGAACCAAGGAGATGCAGTGAGACTTATTCTATGGCATGTGGGGCTGAATTGGTAGTATTTTATCCACATTAGAGGTGTGGGGCTGGAATGGCAGTATTATACCCACATCATAGACGTGGAGACTGAGCATGAAGCCAATGCAGTAAGAGCGAGGGGAGCCTGAGACTCGAGAGGTACAGCAATTAAAAGCAACGTGTGGGCCGGCGTGGGGGCTCGCACCTGTAATCCCAGCACTTTGGGAGACTGAGGCAGGCGGATCACGATGACAGGAGTTCGAGACCAACCTGACCAACACGGTAAAACCCTGTCTCTATTAAAAATACAAAAGTTAGCTGGGCGTGGTGGCGTGCACCTGTAATCCCAGCTACTCAGGAGGCTAAGGCAAGAGAATCGCTTGAACCCGGGAGGCGGAAGTTGCAATGAGCCGAGATTACACCACTGCATTCCAGCCTGGGTGACACAGCAAAGACTTAAAAAAAAAAAAAAAAAAAAAAAAAAAAAAAGCAACGTGTAGATGTTACTCTTGGATCCTAAGTAAAAAAAAAACTAAAAAAAAAAGGCAATTGGAAATTTGGATATTGTTCAGATATTTAATGATATTAACATATTGATAATTGTTAGGTGTGACAATGTTACTTCGGTTATGTTGTATTTTACAAAGAAAGAATCCCTAATTTTTAGAGATATATACTGACATATTTGTGGATGAAACATGATGCCTGGGTTTGTTTCCAAAGTAATGTGGAAAAGGAGGGAAAGTGGGTAGGGGTACAAATGAAACAAAATTGATCAGCAAATAGCCATTCTTGAAGCTGGGTGAGGAGTACACAGCAGTTTGTTACACAGTTCTGTCTTCTTTTCATATATATTTAAAATGTTTCCATAACAAAATGCATTTAAAAAAAAAGACTTGTGGCTCATTCCCTTCCTCATCCACTAGAGGCTGTTAAAGAGGTTTGTTTAATCTAGTGTAAAAATGCTCAGACTTGTAGAGGTTATCGAGTTACAGAAGTTACCTTTTACTTCTCAAAATAATTTCTTTTGCTCTTGGATGAAACTGGATAGAATGAGGGCTCCCCTACAATGGTCAAAGAACAAGTGGTTCTTCCCAGAAAAGGAGTAAACTCTCAAAACCTGAACACCATTATTAGTGGTAACAAAAAAGCAAAAATAAAAAGTCCAACCTACAAAAGAACAGATCCTGTTTTCTAGATTAGCACTGTTCAGTAGAAATATAATTTGAGCCATGTGTGCAATTTTATATTTTCTACTAGCTATATTAGAAATAGTTAAAAAGAAATAGATGAGATTGTAATAATATATTTTAACACACTACTTCAAAAATAGTATTTAAAAAAAAAAAACAATAAAAATCCCCCAAAATAGTATCATTATAATATGTACTAAACATTTTAAAAGAATTATGAATTAGGTATTTTACACTCCTTTTTGCACATGAAGTCTTCAGAAACTGGTGTGTACTTTACTACCGGCAGAACTCCAAGTGCTCCACAGTCACTACCACACCGGGTAACACAACTCGGACAGTGAGGGCCTGACGCGCAGGTCCCATCTTACTCATCTTTTATGCTGGCAGGATACCTGAATGGCACTTAACAGATGTTCAATCAATGTCAGTCCCAGAAAAGTCTTGGTCCACCTAGAGCCCATTACAGTTGTAAGTTCTTAGGAAGAGTTTATTCTGCTTGAAGCCATCTCTTAAAACAGGGAATTGACTATGTATTGTTGGATTTGTG